AAAAGGGCAGAGTTCATATTTATCCCAATTGTACGTCCATCCGTCAACTTGGAAGAACAGATAGGAGAGAACAATGGAGGCGAAACAGTGATGATTTACTTTAAAGGCCTAAGGCCATCCAAAACCATCCAACATCTTGCAACTTGCTGCCACTGGGTGACCAAATGTGTGCAATGCCTTGCGCGCAACGATTTTGCAAGATGTTGCGTTGAAATGTCGCATGGATTTGGTTGGACCATTGACATAACTAGCGCTCAAGAAAGTTTATTTTGTCTCCTGCGTTTAGATGGATAACAGACCACACACTGACAAGGAATTGAAAATTAAAACACAAAAACACAAACAAAGAATTGTAGAAGAATAAGGAGAAAGTTGAGTACATTTGTAATCAGCATTTCTGCCTTAAGCATTTAGAATTCAGTCAAGGATTAACGTTAATGGTTATCTCGGCTTTCTTAGACAAGTATGATTTGAATTATGATAAAAGCTAAGGAAAATTATAAATCATTTCAAAGATGATTGACATTTGCTGCTTCAAGAGTCGATGCTGTTAACCAATTCTTAGTCAGGTGCACTCTGGGTCTCCTACTGTTTACCTAAAATGCGTTAGTGAGTTTTTGAAGCCTTCGACGAAAATGTGCTCCAGGTGTGAAAGATGACCTGTACATTGAGTTGTAAGCATTAATTTCTGCGATAATGTGAGCCGTCATCTCTTAATTATTTGCAATGTTTTAACACTGAGCGTTAATTCAAAGAATAGCTGGAACATTGCATTAAATGCAGGTGGTTTTCTCTATTCATTGCTGAATAAATTATTGAGACGAATTGTCCAGTAGAATTTTCATTTCAGTCAACACATCGTTTTCGGCCAACTCACGGCAGTTCGTTGATGAGCCACGTTCAAATAGAGACCGAGTGGCTGTACTCACTCCGAAATCCTTCAGTTGAGGAAAATGTCCAAAATTTTAATCCCTGTGGCATTTTTCATATTTCAAGTATCTTTTTCATTTGTTGTGAGCCAAGAAGTCAAGGAAAACAGGTGAGATACTTTAGGATATTTCTGGCAATCGCGAGTGAGTCAGTTATTTTCTCGAATCTATTTTTCAAGTCGCAGGAAATTTTTAGGGATTTAACTCGCAGTATTTGAAAAGGATTGATGCCGAAATATTCTACTCATCTGTAAACCAAAGTGTCTCTAAAAAGGAATTGAAGATTTAACTTTTTGATCATTGGGAAACTTGGATGAGAATTTTTAATTTTTTTCGATGCAAACACTGTAGAATAATCAGTTCTTATGCCTCAGCTAAAGGTTATCTAAAATGAACCAATGGAAATATGAGCCGAGTTGAAAAAAATTTAATGGTCACAAATTATTTATTAAAAAAGTTATACGTCTGGAGAATGAAATGTACTTTCATTGTCGAAGCCGATGTCACTAATTAATTTTTCGTGCTGACTCTGAATGTAAGTACTTCCTCTCCCGTTGCAGACCACGTATCATGTTAATCACCAGCTTTATCAAACTGTCTATATTAAAGTATTGGACGATTTCCGAGAAATTTAGGACACAAGCCATTTACACCTCACTAAAGACATATACTTTGTTTTGATGATATCAGCATGATTGTTTGTGTTTAGAAGGTAACCAAATGCAAAACATGGTCTCTGTCTTTACCGAAACAAGATAACTTGGTTTGATCAACTGAGTTGATAATGAGTATTGAGCCCCATCGCGGAGAGTTTGTAAAGCATTGACGTTTCTAGGCTTAGCACTTCGTCAGGGCCGGCGATTAGATCGGCTAAGCTTTGCTACAAAGCCTATTTAAACCACACCAAGTTCCGTTTTTAAATTGCGCGTTAAAATCGTAGATCAAGCGAAGTAGAAGAGCTGTTTCGCAACAGGATTGAGGCGCCCAACAAAACAGACATATTTGCTAAACTCTTCATTGGATACGACAGTAGAGTTAGGCCCAACTACAGAGGTGAGTGTGCATGTTAGTATTAACAGAGGACTTATGCCGCATGATATAGAAATTGTTAAATTAATAACCAGGTAATAAGTATCTGTTTTTGATGTAGGTCTAGGTTCTTCCTTTAATAATAATAATAATAATAGTAATAATAATAATAATAATAGTACGGTATTTATATAGCGCTATTTCTATCACTATCCAATAGCGCTGTACAGTAATTTAATAAATCGGACCGATAAGATTATAAAAACCATAAAAATCTCTAAAACATGAGTAAAAGAAACTAGCTAATAAGGTAGTCTGTAATAATGAGAGTAAAAACTTTAAACTTATATTGAAATTAACTAATTTCCTAGCCAATTAACTAGCTCACCAACTAATCAACTAATTTACTAGCTAACTATCTAGCGGCCTAACTTACTACTTATATAATTAAATAGCTCAGTAAGGAGTAGTCTAATTATAAAATTTGTTAAAAAGGTATGTCTTTATACAGGTCTTAAAATGTGATAGCGAGCCGCTCACTCTTATGTTGTTTGGAAGAGAGTTCCATAGAGTCGGTGCTACAAAAGAGAAACACCTATGACCATAACTTGCTAGCTTAACAGATGGTACTTTAAGTAAATTTTTAGAGGAGGACCTCAGATTTCTGGTCGTTACATAAGGCTTCAACAGTTCAGTGATGTAACTAGGGGCCTGGCCGTTGAGCGCTTTGTAGGTCAAAAGTAGTATCTTGTAATCTATGCGCTGGCTACCTGGGAGCCAGTGCAGCTGCTTTAAGATAGGCTTGATATGGTCGTACTTTCTTGTATGAGTTACGTTGGATCTTGCAGCTCATTGAGGTGTCAGGTCACAACTTTAACAAATCTGATTGTTCCACGACGCGAGAATTTTCTTGACCTTTTTCATCCAATTCAAAGTAAGGCTACTTACGATTTTGATTTTAAAGTTTGACAGCAGCTTAAAACTTATCTTTCTTTTCCACTGCTTTTTTTCAGAGAAACCAGTCCAAGTTTTACTCTATGCTGTCATTGACTCTTTTCACGATATCAGAGAAGATCAAATGGTATCGTAGTAAAAACATCTTTTTCTTTCTTCACAAATATTCTCTAAGTATGACATGAGTACGAAATAGATTGTTTTCCTATGGCACTTTTGTATATAATTTCGGAAAAATGTGCTTTTATTAGGGTTATTTCTCAGTCAAACAAAAGCAGTATTTTCTATAGAACTGAGAGGGGTTTAAGTATCAGATAGAGCGCATTTCGAATAATGGTCGTTAGAAGAAAACCAAAGAAATACCATCAGCCAATCAAAACTGGTGAACATGAAAAGGATTCAAAGCTAGCAGTCGCTATTGATTTAGAGCAGTTTTCACTTGAGTAGCATAAAGCCAAAACTGATATAATCCCATCGACCAATCGGAATGAACGTTTACGTCATCTTTAGCCAATGAGAGCTCAAAGTGAAAACAAGCGAACTGCTAGCTAGAAGCGCGGGAAAACGTGAATGACCAAGTTGCGATTGTTTTATGTTTTTATCTGATTGATGGAGAGCATAATGCAAATTTACCTGCATCAATTACAAACCAAAGTTGAATGAAACCAAAGACAATCACAGAATATTTATGATTTTCAATTGAGAATTGCTGTGAGTTTTGCATATGATTGGTTGAGAGGATCGATCTAGTCTTTTAAACGAATTACCGAGCGAAGTAAAGAGTGGGGGCTGGGAGTGACTTTCGGCACTGGATTGAAAATTGTTCTGGAGTTGGATCAGTACTATGTAAGGAATACATTAACTATTAATGTAAAGCAATGAAAACGACCCTAACATTTTCCACTTCTAACTCATCACCTTATATCGTTGTTTCAAAAGGAATACAAAGTTGAGTTAATATTGAAAGAAACCTGGAAGGACCCAAGACTTGCATATGGCAATGCAACGTGGTTTATCAGAATTAAGAATGAATTGTTGAAGAAAATGTGGTATCCTGATACAATGATAGAGAACGCCAGAAAACACGAAGTCGACGATAAAACAAGGACTGCATATCTGTTTGGTGACGGGACGATATTTTTCTCGGAGTGGTTTGTGTGATTGAGTTATCATTAGATTATATTTTCACTCTTTAGTTTGGCATGGCCATGATACTGATGAAGATGATGGTCGTATGTGATGATAATTGTGGTTGTGTCTTTACAACCTTTACACCATGAAATCAGTATGTATATTCTCCATATTGTGTTCTGTACATTACCTAAGGGTTTGAAAAGAAGAATTGATGATCTATTCTTTTGTTCCCCTGTCCCTAATTTGTGATTCAGGGGGAATGTTGCAAAGACAAATTAGATGCTGGTCACTCTTAGTCGAACTAGACTCAGGATTTTCAGATGGCCACATGCTGTCACATGTGAAGGGAGTGGACAAAACGTTTTTAGCTCTTGGGGCTCAGCAACTCGTTCAAATACGTACAAGTTCCCCATACTACATTCGTGTCACAAAGGGATTATGCTTTCAATACTTTCAGTTCGTTTTTCATTTTATTTAATTTTCAAGGATCAAGGCAACTTTAACAAGTCATATGGACTTTAAGAAATATCCAATGGATGTTCAGACGTTGAGAATACAGTTGGCTGCTTGTATGTATAAAAAAGGTTTTGTTCAATATTGCGTCCAAGAAGTGATTCTCTTACTTTAATTTTTTTTGTAAAAGGAGAGAGTGAAGCCCTTTGGAATTAAGTATGACTTTTTATAAAGACATTTTTATTCAAATGTTATAATAATAATAATAAAATAATAATAATAATAATAAAATAATAATAATAATGATAATAATAAAATAATAATAATAAAACAATAATAATAGTAATAATATAATAATAATATAATAATAATAATAACTTGTATTTATATAGCGCTCATATCTTGAACTCATGGCGCTTTACAACACTGTGCGGGGGACTTTACCAGACTGCTAAGCAGTTTAAAATCAAATGAAGGCGAATATAACAGATGCCCCCTCCC